ATACCTTTCATGTAAAGTGGTTGCCTTTCACAATGCAATACTCACAATACTTTTCATATGATTTGCTTCTCATTTGTTTAAATACATTTGACCATCACTTAATCCAACTGCGCTTAACCGTTTGGTAAACCTATAGATTTTACACTGGTTTGTCTACTATATATGGATTTTGAGAACTACAGAAATAGCATGTGTGTTTGTAAAGTATAAACATCTAAATCATATGTATGATACATGATAACCATACATAATGACTACTAGTTATTGCTAATTGATTTCACATAGTGGTAACCACAATTGGTCACCATATAAAAGGGTGTGTGTGAACACTTGCAATTTATTTCAACATGGAGCAGGATAGACAGCAAGGGAGAGGAAGAAATCAAAGAGCTCGTGGACAAGGGCCCCGTCAGAGAGATGGGCATGGGCCCCGTCAGAGAGGAGGGCATGAGCCCCGTCAGAGAGGTGGGCATGGGCCCCGTCAGAGAGGAGGGCATGGGCCCCATCAAAGAGGTGGGCATGGGCCCCGTCAGAGAGGTGTGCATGGGCCCCGTCAGAGAGGTGGGCATGGGCCCCGTCAAAGAGGTGTGCATGGGCCCCGTCAAAAAGGTGGGCATGGGCCCCGTCAAAGAGGTGGGCATGGGCCCCGTCAAAGAGGTGGGCATGGGCCCCGTCAAAGAGGTGGGCATGGGCCCCGTCAAAGAGGTGGGCATGGGCCCCATCAAAGAGGTGGGCATGGGCCCCGTCAAAGAGGTGGGCATGGGAACGTCAAAGAGGTGTGCATGGGCCCCGTCAGAGAGGTGTGCATGGGCCCCGTCAAAGAGGTGTGCATGGGCCCTGTCAAAGAGGTGGGCATCAGAGAGAGGGAGGCAGACGGCAGGGAACTGTCGTGTCTAATGAAGTCCAGGCCATCGTCGTTGACCATGTGGTAGACAGAGGCCTTACCATGGCAGAGGCTGCCAGATTAGTTCACCCCAATCTGAAAAGGTCAACTGTCAATTCGATCATGAGAACATTTTGTCAAGAAAACCGGTAAGTCTGCAGGATATGCACTATGCTTTACCATTACATTTACAGTAAATGACATATTGTAATGCATGTAAATTCACAGAACATTTTACAGTATTCTTACAGTATGATCTATTGACAGTATACTCTGTTCTACCCTCAGAATTGACAGAAGACCCCATGGTGGTGGCTGTGTGCTGACCGACCAGCAGGAGTGGGCAGTGGTGGAAATGGTGAGAGCCAGGAATGACATACGTCTGTCTGAAATAAAGCAGGCCATTGAGGAGAATGATGACACCTTTACCAATGTGGCATCCATCAGCCTACCTACAATCACCTGCCTTTTGAAGAGGCACCAGGTATCTATGAAACACATTGACCTGGTGCCTTTTGAAGAGGCACCAGGTATCTATGAAACACATTTACCTGGCGCCTTTTGAGAGAAACAACGACTGGGTGAAACAACTGAGGGTGGAGTATGTTCAGGTGCAGCACTATATCCTGTATTACTGTTACTATCAATGCACATGCTACTTCACAATGTCATATTGGAACTATACTGTTTTGAGGGTGGTGGTGCTGGATGCTGCTATGAACCATCACCACTATATCCTTGTTGATGAGGCGGGCTTCAACCTGGCCAAAATTCATCTGACACGTCTCCTCCCGCTCCCCCCGCTCTGGCGATCAACGTCGCCAGTCTACTAACCACTGGCCCTGGCAACCCATCATTACGCACACCTGGCAACCCTCATAACACACACCTGCGTCCCATCATGAGGCACACCTGGACTTCATCACTATCCAGATTACATCCCCTTCATCTAGCACTCTCTAGCATCACGCTTCGGGCAGTATTGTTTCTGTGTTAATGTCCAGACACTCTCTTGTATTGTATCGCTCTATGTTCGTTATTATTATTAAACTCAACACCTGCTTCCTGACTCCCAGTGTCAACGTTACTACATAATTATTATTAAGGTTTTGTTCAACTAAAACCCTGGGAGGACTTGAACTCACCAACCATCAAGGAGTTGCATGCAATTAAATGCATTAAATTGACACTGAAACCTCCAGCCTCTCTCTCTGCATTGGCCTATGAGTTAATAAACTACTGATGCCTAAGCCCTTCAAACCCATCTCTGCCTAGCCATGAGAGTGTCTAAAGAGAACTTTGAGACTATAAACTCAACAGAGATGAAAGTTGGAACACGCTGGAAGGATTATTTGACTACTGGACTCTCAATGGATCTCTAGTTTACTTCTCTCTCCCTCCTGTTTTCCCTCTTTCTCTGATAACCTCCCTCTCTCTCCTGTTTTCCCTCTCTCTCTGATAACCTCCCTCTCTCTCTCCCTCCCTCCTGTTTTCCCTCTTTCTCTGATAACCTCCCTCTCTCTCTCCCTCCTGTTTTCCCTCTTTCTCTGATAACCTCCCTCTCTCTCTCCCTCCTGTTTTCCCTCTCTCTCTGATAACCTCCCTCTCCCTCCTGTTTTCCCTCTTTCTCTGATAACCTCTCTCTCCCTCCTGTTTTCCCTCTCTCTCTGATAACCTCCCTCTCTCTCCTGTTTTCCCTCTCTCTCTGATAACCTCCCTCTCTCTCTCTCTCCTGATCTCTCTGCGTTAACCGCTCCCTAATATGTCACGTGGTACATGTTGCCACTCATTATGTAACCCTACAGTACATTGTTTTACTGCCAGTTATGTAATGAGGAATTTATGCAATCGTATAGCATTTCACTTAAACACATTTTAGATTAGGCTCTTGGACAAAATAAGTAATAATGTTTGTGTTTCTTTTATATTATTTTAAAGACAGATTATAGTCATACGCTACTATTAACACACTTTTGTCATACATTGTATTTTCATTGCCACACATAATACCCATAAGCTTGTTATAGTTTCCCATTCTTCTCTGACACCAGTAATATGTTTTGTCTGTCTGCTTTTGACCATACTGTATGACCACAGGGCAGCAACAGATATGGCTGTTGAGGCGTTACAGAGCAGAACACACTAGATGAAGTGACCTAATATATTTCTATGTGCATCTGCGTTACTGGCTGCCTGTGGCTCCGCGGCTGGACAGCGGAAACTGAGCAACAAAAGGCAGCCTCCTAGGCTGCGTTTACACAGGCAGACCAATTCTGATTTATTTATTTATTTCACTCATTGGTCTTTTGACCAATCAAGATCAGCTCTGAAAAAAATATTCAAGAATCAATGGGTATTTATTCATCATTAATGGAAAGGACCAGTGAACAGCTGTAAATATTGCAAATTGTACCTTTTTTTAAAGTCAGTCACCCCCGATACACACGAGGCGAAATAAAGACACTATTTTCTGTGTGATTGAGCAGCAATCACCTCTGTCTTCCGGAACCTTCCCTGTGTTCCAGCTGTCACCAGTGTCCTTGGAGTCTCTAACAGTATTGATGCTGCCTGACAGTGTGTGTGTCAATACATACACGCATCAATACTCTGCAATGGTCTATGGGGTCACCTCCCCTCGATCTCCAAACTGTTTTATCCTAAAATTATCAATACTAAAAAAAGAGACAATGCACTAACGTCTGCAATTTTCTGACTGCAATGCATTCTGATAATGAAATGACATCAACATGCAGAAACTTTTAATGACATGCAACACCATCATTCATTTACTGAGATCTGATTAAAAGCATAGCAGGCGTTACCTTTTAACCTTATGAGCTTAGTCATCTTCAGTCACGAAACACCCTGTAATTTAATCGAAAATCTTTGACCTTTCAGCTGTGAAATTCCCCGCTGGCAATTATGTGTGTGTGTGGGGTCAAGGTAACTTCAGATCAACACTGTCAAAGCCATAATAAAATGTATGAACCAACAACAAAAAAATACACAAACTCAGTGAGAAAAGTAATGTTTAAAAAACAACTTTATTAATACTTTTCTTGTTCAAAGAAATAGAACATATAAAAGATCGAGAGTAAGTCATTTCTTTCTACATTTACAGAGCATAGTTTTTGCTTCAAAAAACAAATCCTACTTGTACAACGTGAAGAAATCATAAATCCCCTGCAGTGACTATGTGCCAAATGGTTCCAGCAATAAAGAAAACATTCATCATCTTTCAAACAAAGAAAGTCTGTGCAAAGAATGAATGCATACCAAAACACAATGTGAGTGCGTCTCAAATGGCACCCTATTCAGTGCACTACTTTTGACCAGAGTCCTATGGGCCCTGATCAAAAGTAGTGCACTGTATAGGGAATAGGGTGTCATTTGGGACAAAACACATGTTGCTACATTAAGGCAAAACCCTATAGATAATACACTTGGGAAGCTTCCTTGGTAAAGTGAGTGTAGATAGATTATTTTTCTGGTTTTTATGTTTTAATGTTTTTGCTCTTCCACCTAAAAAATAAATAAAACAGCTTTTCAAAAAGCAGCTAGTATTGCACTGATAGACTAGTACCCTTTAATAATGAAATCATAAGGAACTCACTAGTTGACCACATAAAAACAGAAATACTGAGGTTTTGAGGAAGCACACACACACTGCTCGTCAAAGAATACACAGTAGAGGCAGAAAACAGTAGCCTGGTCCCAGATCTGTTTGTATTGTATTGCTAACTCCTATGGTCTGGGTTAGTGATGCAACACAAACAGATCTGAGATCAGGCTAGAAAAACAGCCTTACCAATAAATAATCACAGATTTTCTTACTGAGTAAAAGAATACTAAGAACATATTTTGGGGACCTGCATTTCTGCGGGTTCTGTTCGTATGAGATAAAATAATGAATGGATAGAGCTCATGGAGTTCCGTTTGAGTCGGGTCTTTTTTCACTTTATACCATTGGGACTAACGGAGTGTCATTCAACCATTTCTCTTTCCCTGTCAGAGTGCTGGTTTGGTTCTAGAACCCATCTACACGTGAATAGAATAATACTGGGCTTATCGTCAAGACTTACCCTCATCTGCATCCCAAATGGCACCCTATTCCCTATATAGTGCACTACTTTTGACCAGCTCTAAATCAGAATGCAGTGCTGTGCCAGGGTCGTGCTGCTTCCTACCCCCCAAAATAACTTCTCATTGGCATGGAAACCATGGACACCACATGGAAAAACAAACAAACAACTAAACAGGAAACAAAAAAAATAAATGCATTTCACTCCATTAGAACCATAAAATGAGATTTTCAAAGCTTAAAAGAAGAGACTTTAAAGAAATACAAATGAATCTTCAAAACTGAACGATCTACGTTGCCTACTATTCTCTTAGAACACAGAATTTCCTCATAATTGTACAAACGTTGCAGGTTATGGGCCCAATAGATAATTCACATTCTGTAGACCAATATGGAGAAGGAAAAAAAACACAATCAAAACTGTGAAAGAAATTCAAATGGCGCCGCTAATTATGATCAGATCAACTGATGCAATTAGATTAAAACTAAATAATACGCAATAAACCTAAATCTAAAATGGAGCGGTGGTATAAAAATAAAAAATAAATCCATCATTGGTTTAATAAAATTCATATGAGAAAATACCACCGTCAGGGAGTGGCAAGGTGACAACAACCCAACAGAACCACAAACAACGGTGTTGGGACTGGACTGCATCCCAAATAGTACCCTATTCCCCATGTAGTGCCAGGGTTCCATTTGGTACACAGCCAGGGAGTGGTGAAGTGGTTTATGTCTCTGTGTGGTAGATCTTGTTGGAGTCGTGGTGGTTGTTGGTGTTACAGTAGTCCTTGGTGTGGCAGGTGTGTCCTAGACCACCCATAGCTCTGTGGATGGGGCCGGGGCTGTTGTCGCCGTCGTGAGAGGTGGTGGTGATGGTGAGGTTCAGGAGACTGGTGCAGGTGGGGAGGTAGACATGCTGCACGTGTTCCACCTCCGACCGACACACCGGACACGACTGGGGAGAGGAGAAAGAGAGAATGTCCACATAAAACTCGCTGTCACTTCATTTGAGAGACCGGTACAATACATTCTGTAGACAGAAAGCACATTAAGGAGGTTGAGTTGAGCATGCAGACCCACAATGCAACAGAAAACACGAACCACCACCAGCCCTGGGCTGCAGAATGGACCAGGTAGCCAACCAATCATATTTCAGACATCCAGAACACAGACCAACAATACTAACCAGTCTGTCAAAGTGATGGCACAGGGATAGTGGAAACAGACTCCAATCTCATTTAGCCAGTCAATTGTATTGTAGCCGCGTAAAAGCCTGTTAGTTAACCAACATGGACCTCTAGATCAAATGACCCACGATGCACTGTTCAGACAGTGCTAGAAGATCGTTAGTGTGTCATAAGGGGGCGGCCATCTTGGAAAGTGAGTAAAATAAAATAAAAAATATCCTGTTCTCTCTCCTCTCAATGTGTTTGGGTCCAGCCACATGACACGTTTCCCTGTGGATTTAATGGAATACAAATTTGCTGGCCTGCTGCTGGCAGCTTTAATCCACACTAATTCACCATCTGAGATGGCAGTTCAAGCAAAGTTGGGCACCATTTAGGAGATTCGTGGGAGGGACAATCAGGTTAGCTGAACCCCTGCATGAGAAAAACACTGGATTGTTTTTTTAAAAAGCCTTAAAAAGTGATGAGAGAGTGAGTGAGGAGAAATGGAATCAGAGCGCTCTGCCCTCATGGTGTTACACAGCTAGAACCCCAGGGTGTGCTTGTTGTGTTACCAAGGACTACCACCACTAACAGAAACTGTGGCCAAGTTCCAATAGTCCTCAACAGCTTCCTTCCTTCCTTCCTTCCTTCCTTCCTTCCTTCCTTCCTTCCTTCCTTCCTTCCTTCCTTCCTTCCTTCCTTCCTTCCTTCCTTCCTTCCTTCCTTCCTTCCTTCCCTCCCTCCCTTTAAGGGCACAAAGGACCGGATGGGTTTCAGTCCTACTGCTGTAGTTTATTAAGACCAAGAAAGATGAGAAAAGGAAGACATTTAAACCTAGTGAGACAGCAGAGTATTCTGGGGTTCGACGGCAGTGGTGGCATCCAAAATGTCTTGACAAATGGTCGACTTAACCAAAAACCATCAACATCAAAGTGCATAGATTAAAGTGTTTTCTGGAGTCATTTTCTATCATTGACTGGTCGTAGCTTCTCAATGTAACCAGGACCACCATGCAGGAGTTAACATGTGTGTTAAAATCATTTTCAACCAATCACAAGTAGTCACTTCTATCTGGGTCTCTTTACCTGTAGTTGGTTGGCACAGGTCTGGCAGCACACCATGTGTCCACAGGGGCAGAAGGCTGCATCGATCTCCTCCACACAGCACAGCATACACAGCAGAGCTTCTCTGAGCTTCTCTAGTCTCTCCAGCAGCGCCCTGCTCTGCTGACAGCTCCCACAGTCCTCCCCCAGCCCGTCCTGCTGGCCACGCAGGGGACTGCGCCCCGACGGCGTCCTCTCGCCGCCCGCCCCCTCCACCACGATGCTGGCGTTGTAGAGCGCCCGGCGTGCGTAGTCGTAGACCTCCTTGGAGGTGCGTCGGATGTCGAAGATGTACTTCTTTCCCAGGTTGATGTTCTCGTTGAGGAAGAGCGAGGCCAGGTGACCCTTGAAGTCACGGCTGTACTGCATCATCACTGCGCTGGTCACAGTGTCACACCTGGAGGAGAAAGGGAGATGTTACTAACCAGGAGGTCATGAGCGTGAAGTCTCAATCTCATTCTGTGTTCATCTGTCAATTGAATGTTAGACACTATTTCTAAATCAATCGATTTCTCCATTGTCCACATCTTTTTTGGCACTGGACATATAAAAGGGGTTGTGACTAGATGGTATACAGCTATGGTATAAAAAAAAAAAGTTGCATGTTTGAGTCTGGGAGAATTTTAGCATTCTGGCTAACCCTAACCCTTTTCCTAACATGCTATGTACTGTAAATTCTCCTAACCTGCTAGAAAAAGTCAAATCTGTCCATAGCTGTATACCATCTAGTCAAAACCCTATAAAGGGGGTTGATCATGTCCAACAGCTGTATAGGACTCTAGATATCCTCTACACTGACACAGACACAGACACACTGTCACTGCAGTAGGTTTTACAGAACAGGCACACCTGCACAAGCTGAGGAATACGTGGCCAAACATTCTGCAAACAGAGTAACCCCACCCCACACACACACACAATAAAGGTCATCTTTGTACCTTTGTGACTATTGTAAGCCAATCTTTGCTATTGCACAATTCAAAACGGCTGACATCCATTTTTCCAGGAAGAAGCACTTTTACTTTCATTAATATCAACACTAAGACTGTCTCTTCATGTCCTGTACTGCCTATGGCTTCATCAAGATCACTTCAGACCAAAGGCATGTCAAAGCATGCTGTGAATCAAGGCAATTAAACTGGCAAAACATCAGTATAGAGACAATTCAACGGCTCAGACATGAGACGTATGTGGCAGGGTCTACAGACAATTACAGACTACAAAAAGAAAACCAGCCACGTCGCCGACACCGACATCGCTTCCAGACAAGCTAAACACCTTCTTTGCCCGCTTTGAGGATAACACAGTGCCACTGACGAGGCCCACTACCAAGGACTGTGGCCTCTCCTTCTCCATGGCCGACGTGATTAAGACATTTAAGCATGTTAACCCCCGCAAGGCTGCCGGCCCAGACGGCATCCCTAGCCGCGTCCTCAGAGCATGCGCAGACCAGCTGGCTGGTGTGTTTACGGACATATTCAATCTCTCCCTATCCCAGTCTGCTGTCCCCACATGCTTCAAGATGGCCACCATTGTTCCTGTACCCAAGAAAGCAAAGGTAACTGAACTAAATGACTATCGCCCTGTAGCACTCACCTCTGTCATCATGAAGTGCTTAGAGAGGCTAGTCAAGGATCATATCACCTCTACCTTACCTGTCACCCTAGACCCACTTCAATTTGCTTACCGCCCCAATAGATCCACAGACGATGCAAACGGCATCACACTGCACACTGCCCTATCCCATCTGGACAAGAGGAATACCTATGTAAGAATGCTGTTAATTGACTATAGCTCAGCATTCAACATCATAGTACCCTCCAAGCTCATCATTAAGCTTGAGGCCCTGGGTCTGAACCCCGCCCTGTGCAACTAGGTCCTGGACTTCCTGACGGGCCGCCCCCAGGTGGTGAAGGTAGGAAACAATATCTCCACTTCGCTGATCCTCAACACTGGGGCTCCACAACACTGCAGCCCCCTCCTGTACTCCCTGTTCACCCATGACTGCAGGGCCAAGCACGCCTACAACTCAATCATCAAGTTTGCAGACGACACAACAGTAGTAGGCTTGATTACCAACAATGAAGAGACCGCCTACACTCTCACTCAACGTCAACAAAACAAAGGAGATGATCGTGGACTTCAGGAAACAGCAGAGGGTGCACCCCCCTATCCACATCTACGGGGCCGCAGTGGAGAAGGTGGAAAGCTTCAGGTTCCTTGGTGTACACATCACCGACAAACTGAAATGGTCCACCCACGCAGACAGTGTGGTGAAGAAGGCGCAACAGAGCCTCTGCAACCTCAGGAGGCTGAAGAAATTCGGCTTGGCACCTAAAACCCTCAAACTTTTACAGATGCACAATTGAGAGCATCCTGTCGGGCTGTATCACCGCCTGGTACGGCAACTGCACCGCCCGCACCCGCAGGGCTCTCCAGAGGGTGGTGCGGTATGCCGAACGCATTACCGGGGGCAAACTACCTGCCCTCCAAGACACATACAGCACCTGATATCACAGGAAGGCCAAAAAGATAATCAAGGACATCAACCACCCGAGCCACTGCCTGTTCACCCCGCTATCATCCAGAAGGCGAGGTCAGTACAGGCGCATCAAAGCTGGGACCAAGAGAATGAAAAACAGCTTCTATCTCAAGGCCATCAGACTGCTAAATAGCCATCACTAGCACATTAGAGGCTGCTGCTGCCTATTGAAATCACTGGCCACTTTAAGAAATGGAACACTAGTCACTTTAATAATGTTTACATATCTTGCACTACTCATCTCATATGTATATACTGCATTCTATTCTATAATATTCTACTGTATCTTAGTCCATGCCGCTCTGTCATTGCTTGTCCATATATGTATATATTCTTAAATTCCATTCCTTACTAGTTTTGTGTGTATTGGGTATATGTTGTGAAATTGTTAGATATTACTTGTTAGATATTAGTGCAGTGTTGCAGCTAGAAGCACAAGCATTTCGCTACACCCGCAATAACATCTGCTAAACACGTGTATGTGACAAATAACATTTGATTTGATCGGTAGATAGGGAGGCAGTTTGTTGACGACACTAAGGACCAAAGCACAGTCTCAGTGAACGTGTACAACTACAGGTCAGGATGCATATTCAGGGAGCAGCACCATGGTAAACATTGAGCAGAACGTTGACTCTTCACAAACACCAATGTTTTAAGAGATGGAGAGAGAACCTGACCTATCTGGACTAAAATGGGGAAGTGTAACGGTTGGCTGCCCCCTAGGCAGTATAACGTCACGCCAGACTGGTTCAGGAGCCCTTCATGTATTCAGGGGGATGTAGAGTTGAGTGAGTCAGTGACCACAGACCACGTAGGGGATGAATGTGGAAACAAACATGTTGTCAATACATTAGCATGACAGTGCAGCCCACGGGTGGTTGGCAGTGTGTGTCTCTATACTATACTCAGAGGCTCTCCTTTTAACCCTACCAAGTAGTTTGTAGAGAAGTCAGTCCCTTAGGTTTTCATCATGGAACATTTGATCAACAATGCCTTCGATCACTTGGTGATCAAAATCTAACTCCACAGATACTGTATGATCACTATATGCAGAGTGCACTGTATAATTGGATTGCATGTATTTGTGTTTTGGCTCCCCACAAGGTAACCCTCTCCTCTCCTGTCCACTCACCTGTAGAAGGCGTGTGTCTCAGTGATGGCCCGGTACAGTCCGCTTGCTGCCCGGTTGCTGATTAGCTTGAATAGCAGCACCACACTGTCGCTGGTATCCTTGGTCACTGTCAGGTACACACTCTTCCCTGATTGGGTGGCTATTTGGATTATGGGATAGCTGATCCTAGAATGGATCAAGAAAAGTTAAAGTTAGAAACTGTATTCTTTCAACCGAAATCCTGTAATAGTACACACTATTGCACAACAACAAAACAAATATATAATTAAAGTTTCATGATGACAATCTCAGAACAATCACAGATTTCCTGGAAGGTAAAGTTAGTGGGTCAAGTAGACTTTAGACTTTATAGATCTGGACAGTACGGTATTTATGGGCAGTAAAGGTATAGTATTTGGAGGAGGCAATCTGAACTATGTACAATAGATTGTGCACTATGCAACCCACATACCAAGCTCTCTGGTGACATTGTTTTGGTAGATATGTCAGTGTGCTGACTGCACAAGATATGGAGCAGTTGGTTAAGTATCGTGAAGACCCTTCATTTACCTGTTGACCAGGCTGAAGTCCTCTTTACAGACAGCGATGCCCTCCGGGCCTACCCCTATGGCCAGCCTCTGTCCCTCTGCGTCTCTGGCCCAGTGCCACTCCACCCCGTAGTGCTCCAGGCTGGACACAAGCTGCAGGGCCTGGTACTCCACCGACCCTGGACTCTGACCCTCCAACGCCTTGTGCTTAGAGATGATCCTGTGGAGGGAGAGAGAGCGAGGGAGATGGCAGTGTTACTACTGGTTCACATGAGGAGCCTCATTGCTTCAAAGGGTTCACATGCAGAGTCTCATTGCTTCAAAGGGTTCACACAAAGAGCCACTGTGCTTCAAATAGCTCATAGTTTGTATATATTTTCTGGGAGGGCTGTGAGAAAACAGTAGAGAAACATCTTCACACAACTGAGAAACGTGACAGACTGCTGGTAATGAAGTCATCAACTTCACTGCCCATGGCCATCTAGAAGACATGGAGGGTTCTAACAGCAGCCAGCCTGAGGTTTAAAGCACTGCTACATGAATCACTCAATGGCCACAGTCAGTATGTCAGCTGCCCACAGTCCAAGCTTCAGATACTACAGATCTAGCTGAACACAAGGTTCCAGATACTACAGATAGCACGAGCACAAGGTTCCAGATACTACAGATAGCAGACTGAAGCCCAAGTTCCAGAGCAGTAGCAACTAAGCACCAGGTTCAATACAATGGCAGACTGAAGCAGGTTCCACACTGCAGAGCCCAGGTTCCAGATACTACAGATAGAATAAGCACCAAGAGTACTGCAAAGCAACGAGCACAAGGTTCCAGATACTACAGATAGCAGACTGAAGCACCAAGGTTCCAATACGACAGATAGTAGGGCAGACTGAAGCACCACAAGGTTCCAGATATACTACAGGATAGTAGAACGAAAGCACCAAGGTTCCAGATACTACAGATAGTAGACTGAAGCACCAAGGTTCCAGATACTACAGATAGCAGACTGAAGCACCAAGGTTCCAGATACTACAGATAGTAGACTGAAGCACCAAGGTTCCAGATACTACAGATAGCAGACTGAAGCACCAAGGTTCCAGATACTACAGATAGTAGACTGAAGCACCAAGGTTCCAGATACTACAGATAGCAGACTGAAGGGAAAATATCTTCATAAGAATTCCATCACATCTTTATGAATCTCATTACCCCGGGAGGGAGGGAACTCATATTTCCATAGTTCTACAGAGACCTCATGTGGGGGAGATTAAGATTATAGAGAGGGAGGGAGAGTCCTTCCTGAGCTGTCAGTCTGTCACCCAGAGAGCAGATGTTCTAATATAATCCCATAATCATCCCCTTATCTGATCAAAAATAATAAGGGAATCAATTACTATAATGTAATGTGAGCCTCTGTCCTGTCCTGCTAGTAATCATCTCATCACTGTGTGTGCAGTGTGAATTCTAGTGTATGAACTGAGCTATTGTTGCCCTAGAATTACTCATGGAATGAACCTAGACTTCCTCAGTTCATATGAACATTACTCATACAACTATACAAGGGCACTGATGTACACCCCCAACTGTTTCAGTCAACGGAATGCATCACCAATACATTTCCTTTCACAGACAGCTTTGCTGTTCGGAAACTTTCACAACAGTGATTATATTTTCCTGCAGTAATTTCTTTAGTATGGTAAAATGATCTGTATGTATGCATGCATTTTATTATTTCTATTGGTGGTTTACAAACTTAATTTGAGCACAGCTGTACAGTGGGGGAAAAAAGTATTTAGTCAGCCACCAATTGTGCAAGTTCTCACACTTAAAAAGATGAGAGAGGCCTGTAATTTTCATCATAGGTACACGTCAACAATGACAGACAAATTGAGGAAAAAAAATCCAGAAAATCACATTGTAGGATTTTTAATGAATTTATTTGCAAATTATGGTGGAAAATAAGTATTTGGTCACCTACAAACAAGCAAGATTTATGTCTCTCACAGACCTGTAACTTCTTCTTTAAGAGGCTCCTCTGTCCTCCACTCGTTACCTGTATTAATGGCACCTGTTTGAACTTGTTATCAGTATATTAAAGACACCTGTCCACAACCTCAAACAGTCACACTCCAAACTCCACTATGGCCAAGACCAAAGAGCTGTCAAAGGACACCAGAAACAAAATTGTAGACCTGCACCAGGCTGGGAAGACTGAATCTGCAATAGGTAAGCAGCTTGGTTTGAAGAAATCAACTGTGGGAGCAATTATTAGGAAATGGAAGACATACAAGACCACTGATAATCTCCCTCGATCTGGGGCTCCACGCAAGATCTCACCCCGTGGGGTCAAAATGATCACAAGAACGGTGAGCAAAAATCCCAGAACCACACGGGGGGACCTAGTGAATGACCTGCAGAGAGCTGGGACCAAAGTAACAAAGCCTACCATCAGTAACACACTACGCCGCCAGGGACTTAAATCCTGCAGTGCCAGACGTGTCCCCCTGCTTAAGCCAGTACATGTCCAGGCCCGTCTGAAGTTTGCTAGAGTGCATTTGGATGATCCAGAAGAGGATTGGGAGAATGTCATATGGTCAGATGAAACCAAAATATAACTTTTTGGTAAAAACTCAACTCGTCGTGTTTGGAGGACAAAGAATGCTGAGTTGCATCCAAAGAACACCATACCTACTGTGAAGCATGGGGGTGGAAACATCATGCTTTGGGGCTGTTTTTCTGCAAAGGGACCAGGACGACTGATCCGTGTAAAGGAAAGAATGAATGGGGCCATGTATCGTGAGATTTTGAGTGAAAACCTCCTTCCATCAGCAAGGGCATTGAAGATGAAACGTGGCTGGGTCTTTCAGCATGACAATGATCCCAAACACAACCGCCCGGGCAACGAAGGAGTGGCTTCGTAAGAAGCATTTCAAGGTCCTGGAGTGGCCTAGCCAGTCTCCAGATCTCAACCCCATAGAAAATCTTTGGAGGGAGTTGAAAGTCCGTGTTGCCCAGCGACAGCCCCAAAACATCACTGCTCTAGAGGAGATCTGCATGGAGGAATGGGCCAAAATACCAGCAACAGTGTGTGAAAACCTTGTGAAGACTTACAGAAAACGTTTGACCTGTGTCATTGCCAACAAAGGGTATATAACAAAGTATTGAGAAACTTTTGATATTGACCAAATACTTATTTTCCACCATAATTTGCAAATAAATTCATTAAAAATCCTACAATGTGATTTTCTGGATTTTCTTTTCTCATTTTGTCTGTCATAGTTGACGTGTACCTATGATGAAAATTACAGGCCTCTCTCATCTTTTTAAGTGGGAGAACTTGCACAATTGGTGGCTGACTAAATACTTTTTTTCCCCACTGTAAATGGTATCACATAATTAAAACACAGTACAGACATTGGTTGAGTCTTCCTCCCAAGACATAAGCTTGATTAGGAGGAGCGAGAACGTCCAGAAGATTACCCATAGTCCAATAAAAGTATGCTATTGGCAATTACTCAAAATAACAGAACTGACTGAAATCACCAAATGGGCTATTATAATTGACAATACATTAACAAGAGAGCATCATGTCCATATTATCCTGATTAGAGCCAGTCCATTGGTATTTACATTTTCCCTCCAATTATGATGTCAGGAGGATCCTAGTATGTGTGCGCTTGTCTTGCATGTGTATCCTAGAGTATGTGTAAACACAGCGATAGATCAGTCCTCTGACCTAGCATGAACAGTCCCTAGTTTAGCTTGGCCTGATCCCAAACTGCCGGGCTTCTCAAACTGTTGACTTAACCAGTCAACGAGCTGCTGGGCTACGCTCTAATCGCTGGCTTGGTTCTCCCAACCATGTTGTTATTATTATTGTGGGTGAGGGGGGAAGAGAGAATAGAAGATAGAGATAGAGAGAAAGGGGAAAAGGGGAAAAAAAGAAGGGAGAAAGAAGGGGAAAAAGAAAAAGGAAGGGGAAAAAAGGGGAGAAAAGGAGAAAAACCCCGAAGGGAAAAAAGGGAGAAGAAAGAGAGAAGAAGGGGAAAAAGAGAAAAGGAAAAAAAAGAGGGAAAAAGAGAGAGGGAAAGGAAAGGGAAGAAGGAAGAAAGAAAGAAGAGAAGACAAAAAAGAAGAAAGAAAGGGGGAAAAAAGAGAAAAAGAGAGAGGGAAAAGAGAAGAGAAAAAGAAAAGAGAAAAGGGGGGGAGGGGAGGTTTTGGGGGGGGGAAAAAAAAAGGGAAAAGGGGGCCCGGGTGGGTTTTAAAAAAAAAGAAAGTTTAAAAGGAAAAATTTTTTTCGTTAAAAAAAAAAGGGGAAAAAATAAAAGGGGGAAAAAGGGAAAAAAGGGGAAAACCGGAACCCAAAAACCGACTTTGGGGAAAACCCCCAGGAGATGGAAAGGGGAAGAGGAGAAAAAAAGGGAAGGAGAAAATGACGAACGGGGGGAAAAAAAAAAGGAAAAAAAAAATTTTTTAAAGGGGGGGAAAGGGCCCAAAAGGAAGGGGGGAGAGGGGAAAAGGGGAAAGGAAACCCAAAGGGGGAGGGGAAGGGGGAAAGGGGAAAAGGGAAAAAAAAAGGGGGGGGAGGAAGGTTTTTGGGGGAAAAAAACCCCGGGAAAAGAGAAAACAGAGACAGACAGAGCAGACAGAAGAGAGAAGAGAGAAGAGGAAAGAGAAAAGGGACAGAACAGAGCCGGGGAACAGAGAAGAGGGGAGACAGAGAGAGAGAGGAGAAGAGAAAAGAGGAGCGGAGAGGGGAGAAGAGAGAAAACAAGCAGAAGACAGAGACAGACAGACCGAGACAGACAGACAGAGACAGACAGACAGAGACAGACAACAGACAGAGACAGAAAAGAGAGAACAACAGAGAGAGACAGACGAGACCAGCCCAAGACAACAGAGAGAGACAGACAGACAGAACAGAGACAGACAGAGAGGACAGACAGAGAGACAGAGAGGAAGATGAGACAGAGAGACAGAGAACACCAGAGAGAGGAGAGAGAGAGAGAGAGAGAAGAGAGAGGAGAGAGAGAGAGAGGACGAGGGAAGAGAGCAGAGAGGAGAGAGAGAGAGGAATGAGGGGGGGGGACTGTTGTAGGCTTTATGGGTTGGTGGTGGAAAACAAAACTAATGGGGATGTTGATGGCGCTTCCAGGTTGGGTTTCACAGAAAATATTAATAAGTAAATGTTTAACACCTAGTTATAACCCTTGTTTTTCTGGCTGTATAAAATAAAAATGGGTGAAGTCAGTTCAAATACCATTACCACTTTTGAATGATTTACAGTGGTTTCACAATGTGTTACCTGGTTAACTCAATAACCCTGCTTACTTTGGTGAAATTCCCCCTTAGCTGTTCAGTTCCATGCCTGAACAGGTTTGGTCCATGACGGAGAAAAACAAGTGGCTACATGGTAGAAACATGACTGTAAGTCGCTTTGGATAAAAGCAAAATGGCATTTATTATTATTATTATTATTATTATCTAGGATGCGTCCCAAATGGCACCCTATTCCCTATCTAGTGCACTACTTTTGACCAGAGCCTATGGGGAAATAGGGTGTCATTTCAGACTGAACCCAAGTGTCCTTTCCATCTGCTGCTCATCTCATGTTGGGTGACATCATGTGGGACAAACTGTTGTCCGAATTGCAAACCAACCTTGGCTGCATGGTAGGAACGTGTTCTCTTCTTTACGGTGAACCTGGTAGGAACCGTGTTTTCTTCTAGTTTCCTCTCAGTCTGCCTGTTGCGCACGGTGGCTGACATGTGGGCGTGAGTGTCGAACTTTGTTCCAATTGCAAAGCAAACAATTTCCGGGGACTTCCAAACTCTGCTGCTGTCTGCATTGCCAGTGTAACTGATATATCAGGTTCCCATGGCACGATATGTGTCTGTCAGCTGCACACGACAGACGTATTCATAGGTAGGCTAACGAGAGGGGAATGCTACGGCTTGGAGCAACTCATGGGTTAGGGTGCAAATTCTACAACTCTTTTACACCTAATTGTTTGTTTTGAGACTTCCCATATATTCTTGGGAATAGGAACGCAGGTGAGTCTAGGTAACGCGACAGAACTTCATTTTCATGTAAATTATGGTCATAAATTATGAAAGGTTGACCTGTTTTGGGATTAATTTTCAAACATTCCGAATTGGGCCAGGAAAGGGAATTTTCCTCTTTGAAGCACCTGACTGTTAGATGTCCAACTGCTGTTGGATGAATCATTAACAAAACATCTGGCACTTGGTTCAGCTAGATGTTGATACTTTCATACCATAAGCCTCTAATAACATATCTGTTCACTAAAGGCCAGCCAGCAACCTTGTCAAGGGCAGCTTTGCTTTCAATATTTCAACCGTGTATTCATGTCCGTGTATTCAACTCCATCCAATTAGCACAATGGCTAGAGCTTAAATCCTGTTTTAACATGCCACAGGTGTGTGTGTGTGTGTGTTTGTGTGTGTGTATGTATGTGTGTGCACATTTTACTATACTTGTGAGTACCCAAAGTCCTAGAGAATAGTAAACTAACTAAAATAATTCGGAAGTGAGGCTATTTCAGGCTCAGGGGTACAATTAGGTTTAGGGGTTAGGTTTAGGGGTTAGGTTTAGGGGTTAGGAGTTAGGGTTAAGGGAAAATAGGATTTTGAATGGGAATCAATTGTTGGTCCCCAAAAAGTCCTCAAGCAGAGTAAGACATAGATGTGTGTGCCTGAGCCTTCATGTCTGTGTCCAGTAGAGACCCTTTGTCTAAATTATCCCCCAGGTGTCCCCTGCCCTTACCCGTTCACTGTTGCCGGGCAGGGTTCACTGCCACACAGCTCAGAGTACCAGTACTTGGCAGTGTTCTGGTTGTAGTCTCCGAACTCGGCCTGGGCCAGCAGGGCACTCAGCTCCTCAGCCTGCTCTGAACACATCCTCAGGTGGCCGCTGTGGAGGTCCTCCTTGACCTGCATGAAGAACACATGTCTGGTGGAGGGAAGAGAGAGGGAGCAAATGTTAGACATTACCTGCAATAGGTGATGATTGGAGATGGGAGTTACACAGGGCCTGGAACCAAAAGGTGATGATTGGGGAGGGGGAGGTACTCAGGGACTGGAACCAAGGTTGTGTCAGTAAGAGACGTTGGTTAAGTATGCCGTGGTCCCCTAGCCCGTTACGGTTCATGGTTGGGTCAGGTTCACGCACAGAGCTCAGAGTACATACTGGAGGTTTGGTTGTATCCCAGAAGGTGGCGTTAGAGGTCGGGCAACACAGCCCTCAGCGTGGCTTCTGGAACATTCCTACAGAGCGGCGGTGGAGGTCCGTTGACGCATGAAGACACAGATGGGAGGGAGAGAGAGGGAGCAATGGTTAACAAACGCAATGGTGAGTTATGAGGATTGGGTTACACAGGGCTGGACAGGTTGATGAGTTGGGGAAGACAGGGAGGTTACGAAGGGGTGGAAACAGAGGATGGATTGGGTAAGGGGGAGTTACACAGGGCGAGACAGTGAGGTTATGGGGGGGGTAGTACAAGAGCAGGGACTGGAACCAACAGGTGGTATTAGCACAGAGGAGTACACAGGGCTGGAATCAAAAGGTGAGGTTGGAGGGGGACAAGACACGTGGAGTGATAGAGTGAACATCGATATGGTAACGATGGAGTTGGTTTACCAAGAGCAGGTGGAGGTTATAGAGGTTGGGTTATACACAGAGCAGGTGGAGGTTATAGAGGTTGGGTTATACACAGACAGGTGGAGGTAGAGGTTGGGTATACGAGGTGGGGTTAGAGAGGTTGGGTTATAAGGGAGCCAACGGTGGGGTTATGAGGTTGGGTTATACACAGAGCAGGTGGAGGTTATAGAGGTTGGGTTTACACAGAGCAGGTGGAGGTTAAGAGGTTGGGTTACACAAAAGGAGGGAGGTTATGAGGTTGGGTTTACCGAGCAGGAGGTAGTGGGTGGTTATAAGAGGGTTTGGGTTATGAGAGGTTGGGTTATAAGAGGTGGAGGTTACAGGCAGGGGTTAGGTGGGTTATACACAGAGAGGTGAGGTTAGAGGTGTTATACGAGGTTGGGTTATAGAGGGTGGGGTTACAAGAGGGTGGTCCAGAGGATGGAGGTTAAGAGGTTGGGTTTATAGAGGTTGGGTTAAATAGAGGTGGGTTATAAGAGGGTGGGTTAAACAGAGTGGTTACAGGAGGTGAGGTTTGGGTTGGTACACAGAGCAGGTGGAGGTTATAGAGGTTGGGTTATACACAGAGCAGGTGGAGGTTATAGGGTTGGGTTATACACAGAGAGGTGGAGGTTATAGGGTTGGGATACACAGAGAGGTGGGTTAGAGTTGGTTATAGACAGGTGGACAAGAGGTGAGGTTATGAGTGGTTACACAGAGCAGGTGGAGGTTATAGAGGTTGGGTTATACACAGAGCAGGTGGAGGTTATAGAGGTTGGGTTATACACAGAGCAGGTGGAGGTTATAGAGGTTGGGTTATACACAGAGCAGGTGGAGGTTATAGAGGTTGGGTTTACACAGAGCAGGTGGAGGTTATAGGTTGGGTTAACACAGAGCGGTGGAGGTTTGGGGTTGGGTTATACACAGAGCAGGTGGAGGTTATAGAGGTTGGGTTACACCCAGAGCAGGTGTGTGTGTTGGGGGTGGGGGGACAACAGGCCTAGAGGGCTTGAAAATGGATGATTGTTTCACTCACTGACACTGTATAACTTACTCTCTCATACCAACACACGTTATGACTGACAGCTGACCTCCAGCTCACCAAAGCCATGCACCTCAAAGTAGTACTCTGTTTTGCTTTCTAGTTCACTACTTTCACTGATGCCAGGGATAGAAAATAGGAAAAGTGAAAGTTGTTCCCAGTCAGACAGTGGGTGATGTGGTCTGACTTTTAACCCAGTGACTCAATCAGTCAGCGACTTCTAATGGCTCCATAACTCTAATCAGGGTACACACACACACACACACACACACACACACACACAAAGACATACACACAAAGAGCTCTAGCTCTTATCACAGTGTAAGAGGAGTCAGCAACCAGCCCTGTAGAGCTTCTGTACAGCTGTCTATTCACAGTAGAGTGCTATGGAGCGATAAGCAGCCAGAGTGCTACTGCTGTTGTGTTGTAACACAGTGGGTTCTGGGTACGATAGCATCGTTTAGCCTCTCTCTCTCTCTCTCTCTCTCTCTCTCTCAAATACCAAAACACAAGGCCACACAACGACACGGCTAAATCAATGTAATGACGACGCAACGCTGTAATCTTGTTTTTAGTGAGGTAAGGGACCTCCCCTGTTGTTGCTGAACACTTGTTATTGTGCCGAGTTCAACGTGGAGGGGTAGTAGGCTACGGGAAAGAATCATAGACAAAGAATAAGGAATGTTTTGTATGTCTGCGTGCAGAACACTGGGCCAGGACAGTCAGAGGCACGGAGGCTTTTACATTCTTTTCACCGAAAGCTCAGAACAACTTCTTTTTTATTATTAGTTCCTGAGATGTCGTGAATAAGTTAAAGTTCAGGACGACCTTATCTTGGCTATGATGTGATGATGACACTTATTTTTCAAGTCACTGTCCAGTGAGGCTGTTAACACAAAACTGAGATAGCAATAATATTATTCTGACCTGGACTGTGAAAGTGTATGGTCAGTTAAACAATAACTAGTAATATGAGACAATGAAGCAGCGAAATCGACTCATTCTCTCCCATCAAAAAGGAGGCTGAAGTTTCAGACCTGCAACTGGAACTGAAAACCAGCACAAACCGGTCAGGCAACCTCTCCCCCTCTCCTCCCCCTCTCCTCCCCTCTCTCCCTCCTCCTCCTCTCTCCCTCCTCCTCTCTCCCTCCTCCTCTCTCCCTCCCCTCCTCAGACCGGATCCAGTCAACTGGATCAAACGAGACCAGACTCCCTTGTTTTCCTCACACATAATATAACCTCATAACATAACGTAACTTGGTATACCACTACCAAGCACATCTGTACAAATGAATAACACACAACTATGCAACATCCCTAACACAAAGCTATGGAACATAGAACTCCCACTGTGTAAGAACGTGTGACAGTGAGATTTACTGTCAACTCTCTGCTGGGTCTCTTCCTGCCAACCCTGCACTGATGACTGAATGCGTTCATGCCAGTCCAGTTTTCGCACATAAGTAGCACAGATTGCTAGCTAGCTAGGCTAACTACCTTGCTGGCTAGATAGAGCCTAACTAGCCAGCTAACGTTAACTAAGTGAGGATGTGATGAGGACAGGGCTGCTTGCTTGGTGAAGTGTATTTTTAATTATTTACGTATTCAAATACGCTGTCGCTGGCAAGCTACTCACCGTCAAACCACCATGCCCACTCTCACGTCGTGACTTACGGGCTGAATGATGTTCAATGAGCAGCTCGTAGAGCGCCCTATTCAGGCAACCATTGTAAATGTATAAAAATTAGCAGACGTATTTGTTCATTCTATGTACAGTATATAATAAATGGCACTTTATCTGTGGAATAAAGACTGATACAAATATTTCTGTGAAAGGCTAATATCACCGATAATATCGGTCAACCGATTTACCGGTCGGGCTCTAAACAGCACACAGCCGTCTGTTTGCCTTTTGTGCTAGGCCCAGCAGCAGGACTCATGTGACCAGTAGGCTGCTACCTGGCTGGTTGGAAACAAAGGGCTCTGACTACCTGGGGGTTACTATCGGTCACGGCCCTGCCTGGAACTAGTGCTGCCAGCTCAGCCTTACGTGACTAATCTTGGAAACACACAGCTGCTCAAATTGAAAAGGAACACTTCTCCTGTAGCTCTTCCCCATGCAGTCCCCCTCTTTTATACTCCCCCCTCTCTAATACTGGGTTTCATCTGGGCTCAGAACATGGGGTAAACGACCATGTTTGGGTGTATACAGTATCTGGAACAACCCTCGTACTAAGAAGTTCAATACTAGGTAGGTATTGTTGTTAAGGACAATGTATACATGGGGTAATGTACAGGAAACAGTCACACAAATCTAGTCTAGCATGTACAGCAAGTCAAATAGCGTTTGAACGCTTTCCTTCCTCCTCTCTGGTTGGATTTCTCATCTGTCCCTGCTTTACCGCATAACAGTGTAGCCTGTACAAAGTACACAGTAACATTGCATCCCAGTTTTCTACCATGCAGCCCCTCGTGTGCACTTGTCTACTTCCCTTCATGGATTTAGAAGGAGTAAGAAATATGGGAGAAAACTCCCCCCATGGTTTTTCTTGTCTCTTCCTAGTTGTTGAAGCACACATGGATTTCTCATATATCCTTGTTTGACCTCACAACTGTCTGTGGGTCTGCTGACTCAAGGCTGCCCAGCCGATCTCTGTCGACCCTGGGGGAAGAGGGGGGGGGGCAGAGGAGGGGTTGGTAGCAGGCGTTTCCTGAGCCTGGCTCCTGGACGTGTGTGAGCTCAACTCTCAGGGGAGCCTAGAGTCTGCACCCGTCAGGCCCTATAGCACACCCCACTGGGAGAGCAGGGACAGGGACAGGGAGGGAGGCTCTGGAAGCAGCACCCCGTTATGGAGGTAGACAACCAGGGCAGCAGGGCAGAGGTCTCCCCTCATCCACCATGCTTTGATGTGAACTGTAGAGGGCGGTGATGAGGAGGGGGTGTACGCTGGTCTGACTGTCCTCTGTGCAGGATCGTGACAGGTACAGGCTCAAGGCTCTAACATTAACTCCAGAGGTGCCCAGACTGACAACAGTCTGCTGGGCCAGTTTAAATAGAACAACTGGGATGAACACAGCCTCTTAAGGCTTTCATTACTGTCATCTTGATGAAGGGGAAAGAGAAAGGGGTAACGGAACACCTGCTCTCAGACCAGTGGACAGCACGGTACATTTACTGTTCACACACACACACACACACACACACGCGCAATGGATGACAGTGGGGGCTCCAACACAACTCATCTGTTCTCCTGCTGGAATGTTAAACACTTGATTGCATAGCTGCAATAATTCAATTAAAGTGCACCGTAG